GTATTCTAAGATTTTGGGGGAAAAATAGTGTTATTTCTAAATTTGACCTGACTAAAAAATTGTAAAATAGATGTTACCATTTTAAAAATCATGTCTAAAAATAAAATGCAAGTAAGTTATAGGTTTCTGCTGATAAAAATTTTGGTTTATATATGACGTTTAGCATGAAAAATACCTCCAATAATCTTTTACAAAAATTAAATAGGGTTATTCAATATGTTTTTGGCTAAAAATGCGTCTTGAATAATCCTTAAAAATTTTTATGGAAAGATTATTGAAGGCATTTTTTGGTCAGAAATGCCTTGAATAATCCCATTAAATTTTTTGTATGGGACTATTCAAGGCGTTTCTGCCTAAAAATACCTTAAATAATCTTCAAAAAAATAGTAGGGGATTATTCAAGGCGTTTTTGGCAAAAAACGCTTTGAATAATCCTTACAAAAAATTTAATAAAGGTTATTCAAGGTGTTTCTGTCGAAAAACGCCTTCAATAATCCTTTATAAAAGTTTTTAAAAATTATTCAAGGCATTTTTTGCTAGAAACATCTTGAATGATCTCATTCAATTTTTTGTAAGAGATTATTGAAAATGTTTTTTGAGAAAAACACATTGAATAATCCCCTTAAATTTTTATGAGTTTAGAGTTTAAGAATTATTCAAAGCTTTTTTAGTCAAAAACGTCTTCAATAACCCCATTCAATTTTTTATAAGAGATTATTTAAAACATTTTCTGAGCAAAAATACCTTGAATAATCTTCTAAAATTTTTAGGAGTTTAGGATTTAGGGTTTAAGGATTAAGAATTATTCAATGTTTTTTTTTTTGTCACAAATGTCTTGAATAATCTTACTTAATTTTTTGTGAGGATTATTCAAGATTCAAGAATTTTTAGCCAAAAACATTTTGAATAATCTCCTTTAATTAAAAATTAGATTATTTAAGTTATTATCATATATGCTAAGGAAATTATAATAATTTTTCAAGATTTAATATATGTAAATTTCTCCCAACTAAATGAATGAATCTAAATACGAAATACCTTAAAAATGAAAAAAAACTCTAAGTATAACATTTTTTTCAGAATCACATTTTTTTTCGGACCCCTTTAGTTAATTTGTTTTGTGTAAATTATAAAATAGAAAAGATAAAAATATTAAAATTATATTAATAAAAATATAAATATTTTAATAATATTTACTCAAATTTTCAATTAATTCAATTTAAAAATTTTAGAATAAAAAACCAACCGTCTAAATCAATTTATATATCAATTTAACCAATATATAAATTGATTTAATATGTATAATAAAAAAAATCAAAATTAATTTAATTTATAGATCAATCTTTGATCCATTTTTTCGGTTAAAATCGATTTATGCACAACTCTAATTTATACTCCTTTCTCTCCCTCATCGGTATCATAATAGCAAAGATTTGATTTGACAAGAGAGCCGAAGATCCTCATTATCTTTGTCGGCCTTGTGATCTAACCCATTACGTCACTAGAGTGGTCCAGAAAAATGTATAAAATGGATAACATTTCTCTAAACATGCGCGAAGGGCCCACTTTGAGGCAAAGTGTTTTACCGTAAGTTAGATAAGAAACAAGTAATTGCCACGGTAGCCATACAAGGTTGAGGACAGATTATAAAGAATGTTCAATATGCATGGAGGAGTTACATAGAAAATCCCAGTCAGTGAGATCTAGGAGAGCGAAAAAGAAAGAGAAAATAGGGATAGACATGGCGAGAACAGAAGGAGAACACTGTCCAAAAGGAGCACAAATAATAAAGAAGATGTATAGGCAAGGGGTGTGAACAGGAAGAGAGACATTTCAAACATATTAATATTCTCTTATCCAACAAAATAAGTCCTGTATGGCTGTTACATATCTGAAGATCCTGCCCTTTTACCCTATCAGACACAGGCTTCAAGTTGATCTTTTCATCTTTTTGTCATGTCCAGATACCTTTTTCTGGCTAATATGCTGATGGAATCTGAAGTTAATCCTTTTGATAGTCAGAAGGCAAAGTGTTTTTATATCCCTACCTTCTAAATATATCCCCTCTATCTCTCCTCATTGCTATTCCTGCAGGTAGAAAAATGACCCTGAGATTTTGGCGATGACAAATCTAATATATTGAGGATGTATTGAAGAATGTCAGAACTCAGGTGCTACTTAAGCGTATAAAACCATACACAAGAATCCGAATCCTTTTCATATCGAAAGTGAAAGCTACTGTTTTTCCTTTCCCTTTCAATCAGTTGCTTCAACGTTTCATTTTATTTTGTTTTTCTATTAATTATTAATACAGTTAGCACTTTTAGCTTGAACTTTCTTTTATTTGATAAACGCTAGATATGTGGTTTTTAATACATAAATATCGTTCAACTCTCCATTAATATAAACGCTAGATATGTTGTTTTAATACATAAATATCATTCAACTCTCCATTAATTATTAATATATCAAACCATTAGCAACAGGGTTTATTGAGATTGCAAATATCCTATACGATATCCCTTTAATGAAGGTCTCCCTTTTTTTAATGTTGTTAATTTAGGCCACAAGAATATACTTTCTTATCTTAGGTGATTTAGATAAGCAATCAGGGAAAGCTAAAGCACCCATCTAGATTCGTATATAATATGTTTGGTTAGCCAAAGTTTTTATTCTTGTTCAATGACAGAAAAAAATACATATATTTTCCTGATTGCAATAATTTGGATTCTGAGATTGACAGTGGTCATATGAACTACCTGTTCTCTACCAAAGTTGCAGATAATAAATTGCCAAATGCTAACCCAGACTGGATGCTGTTTGGCATGCTTGCTGGGATGAGCTATGGTGGAAGGGAAGGGAATGTAATCTAGCTACCTACATTTTACATTGACATTTATGGGGAATCTTTATAAGTTCAATTAATAAGGGTTCATTTGGATGTACAATGATAATGATAATAGCGATAGTTATGAATTTAATCACTATAGTTATAAAATTAAAATTTATAATAAGATATGTATTGAAATGCAAAAACAATAATGATGAAGAGGTGAATTGTAATGAGATAAAAAAAATAATTATTAAAGATATTAAATTAAAAAATATGTATATAATAAAATTTTAAATTATTTGGCATTTATAAAATAAATGATTAAGAATTATTTTTATATCAAATAATATATATTTTTAAAATTGATAATAATATATTTATATCAATAAAAATTTAATAAAATAATATTAAACAAGTAAAATATAAAACATTTATTAATTTAAATATAAATACAAAATAAAAAATAATGATATTATAGTGAATGATCCAGTTCAATGATTCACTGGACATTTTTTATCGGTAAAAAATTGTTGCTCCAATGCAATGAAAGAGCTTAATCACACTGCACTGATAGACATATAAACGAAATGAAATGATGTGATTATATCAAAATGATAAAAATTCTCCTCGCTTTGATGCGCCGAATCCAAATGAAGCCTAAAACTGCATACGGTGCGGTGAGATTCCCTACCACCTCGCATACAAGGGGCCTCTGAATATTTCTAGTTTTTGCCGTAAAGGGGGTGCCTTTGAATCCAACCTTTATTACTCTTTGGGTGGGGACATGTGTCCCCAATCCCCATTATTTCTATTTTTGTTGAGAAAAGCTGGATTACTTGACCCACGTTTTCCTCTTTTAAACTCAGTACCATTTATATATAAGAAAGAACAAAAAAAGGAAAAGTTTTTTTTTTTTTTCCTTTCCTCTTTTTAACAATGAAATTGTTATTGAGTGCTTCTTTTTTTATTATTTTATCCTTTACAAAATGAAATTATCAATTTTGGGTCATCCAAATTCCAAACATTAATTTCAATTTTGAATTCCATACAAAAACAAAAATATTCTCAACAATCTTGCCTATTGAAAGTTGGAACTGCTTTATAAAGCCTTTATGCAGCAGCTCTAATAAAGAAGAATGGCTATAATGCGAGGCTCTTCTTTTGTGTAAAAGAATTCTTATAGTATAAATGGTGCTATGTTACTTCTATGTTTATTTTAGTGAATTATGATTTTACTTATTGTTATCATTTTTAATATTTTTTAGAATAAAAGAAAATGACAAAAAACAAAAATAAAAATCTCATATATAAAATCCATAAATTTAAACTAAGATCTCATAAACAAATTTAACTTATTTTTTAAAATGCTTTTGTTGATCATGGTCAAAGTTCAAACAATGATCATAACAACAATAATCATGAAAAATTGAAAATAGTTGTCCTAAACCAATAAACCAATGAATCTCTTGTGGGTTGTTGTGGTGGGGCCCTTCAGACATAAATGGTTAGAACAAAGAATGGGTTGATTGGACAGGGTGTTGTCGAATGCGTGGACATAATTCTCTTTCTCTTTCAATCATTTATCATTTTATGTTTTACAGTTGCACGTTCACCAACATCAACGTTTCCATCATGCTCCAATTGTTTCTGCGTACTTTTTTTTAATTTTTAATGACTAAGAAATGGTTGTTACATATTGAATTATTGATAACCCAATTTGCCTGCTTTAAAGAAAAAGATGAAGTAGCGGTAGGCGAAAGTTTGTCTGGTAGTAGCAGCACCAGCTCAGATGATAATCATCAAAGTCTTTTAATTTGGTTTTTTTTGGCTGTATATTAGACTCTTGAGCATAACTCAAAAGCCAAAATTTCCATACTTCCACCCCACCTTTTTTTAATTTCTTGTTCATCTTCTCAGGTATATCCTTTTTCTCTTCTCACTCTTTCAATAATTCTTTCTTTTTCAATTATACACGTTTTGAATTATTTAATTATACTTTGTAGTTTGTAGTGCCGTTATTGAATTTGCTTTGAAGCTTTTACCTTTCCGTACATAAAAGATTAAATTTTGACTGTCGATTGATGTTTCTTGGACCATTGGTCTCGGCTCAGTTCTTTTGAAATCAAACCAAGCTCCAAACTTTAAGTTATTTTTCTGGGTAATTCTTAAATTTCTTGAATCAGCAAAAGTTATAGACTTTGATCATCTTCCTTGGCTTTGTCTCTAGTGGGCGTGATTAGTTTGAAATTCGTGACTTTGGCGGGGCCTAATGCATGCTTTTCTCAACTTAAATGATTTAATTGTTTTGTTATGATATTTTGAGGTTCATAATTTTTTTATTACCGTCAAAACATTGTGGCTTTAAGCAGCAGGAAAGATTCACGTGGGAAATATTATATGTACTAATTCATTTGTTCTTCTTTTTTTTTTTTTTCAATTTACTAGTTTTTGGGTATTCTATATAAGGTTGGTGCAAAGTTGGTTTTTTTTAGCTGAATTGGCCTGATTCCTGCTGCCAGGGAATCGATCATATGGGATTCTGCATTTTTCAGGTTGTTTAGCAAAATGATTCGAGTTTTGAGTGGGAAATTTTAATCTATTTGGCTGTTCTACTTAGCTGGTATTTACCCCTTTTCTGGTTCTTTGTCATATGTTTGTTTTGATGTTTGATGGAATTTCAATGGCAATTACTTTTCATCTTCCCTCCATTTTTGAGTTAAATCAGTTTTCTTGCTTCTAATTGACTTTCCAGTAAGTTTCCGATCGAACTGATGTTTGCATATTCTAGATGATGTTCTTTTGCGGAGTTAATGGAAAGCTTTTAGATTGTATATTCAACTTGTCTTTTAACTTTGTCTTCTTTTCCGTAAAGTTTTTCAACATTCCTTTCACTTCATGTTCTGGTGTTCTAACTCTTTTTTTTTTTTCCTCTTTTATAATTAATGTTTGTGTAAATTGAGTGACAAAAGTGTTATTCTGGGATTTATATCTTGATATTTGTCTCAGGAGGAGGTTTTCAAAGCTTGCAGAAATAGTAGAAGAAAATTCAGAGGCATGAGTCAACCTAAAATTAAGCGTCGCGTGGGTAAATATGAGGTGGGAAGGACTATTGGGGAGGGTACATTTGCTAAAGTGAAGTTTGCCAGAAATTCTGAGACTGGGGAACCTGTGGCACTTAAGATCCTTGATAAAGAGAAGGTTCTCAAACACAAGATGGCCGAACAGGTTTCCTTTGAACCAATCTCTTTCTCTGCTTATCCTTATCTCTTCTTTGCGACTCTGTTTGTCTATGATTTGAGAAGAAATTTTATTTATTTATTTATTTATTTTAATCCTCCATGCTTCTGTTTTCATAGTTTGTCAAAACTATTATAGTCACATTTTAAGAAAGGGATTTCTATATTTCAGATATTGTCTCTGATTTCTTAGATATTTTTCTGCTTGCTTTTGCAGATCAAGCGGGAAATAGCAACAATGAAGTTGATAAAGCATCCAAATGTTGTCCGTTTATATGAGGTTTCTCTCTCTCTCTCTCTCTGTGTTCTGTATGGGGGGTTGATTTATGCACTATGTACTCACTCTTCCTTTTCTCCTTCGTTTCATTGGAGTATGCTTATGGTTTATGCTCTAATCCATATTTCTCAATAATGGGTTGGGAATTTGATACTATTTTCCATAATCTTCTCTAGTGAAACAAAGCCTTCCTTCTTAATTTTATCTTTAGCAGTAATATGGGTGGCATGATATCTCAATATTGAGGTATCATTTTCTCCAAGCTTGAACATTATATGAAAATTTTGGCTTTTATTTGCTAGTATCTTTATTAATCCTTGGAACAAAAGACAAGAATCAACGTCTGAAATATTTATTTTTGTCTTTAGCTTGCATGTGTAAATATGTGAACTGTGTGCTCAAGTATGTACCCAGTATACATGTGCTTGCATATGATTAGGGTGAAAGAGTAGCATGCAAACCATTTTTAATAGCCAATCTCTTGCAATGCCTGTCTAGAACTAATCTAAGAACTTCTCGTTATCTTCTCTTCTTGCTACATGGTTTTATCTTGCTTTCTGATCTTATACTTTGAGACTTAAAAGGAATAGAATCCTCTTGAATCAGTTAATAATTATTGGTCTACAGCAATTAAGTATCTTAAAAAAAAAAAAAAAACTTGCCTTTAGATTCACTCTTGTATCATTAGAAAGATTGATAGAGCTTTACATGTGTCGTGTGTATAACAACTTTAAGATGATGCCTCATGATGTTCTATGTGTCACTTATTGAAGAAAAGCAGACAAGCAAAAGCTTTAAATTATTTTTGTATGTTTTTATTCAGGTGATGGGAAGCAAGACAAAGATATTTATTGTTTTGGAGTTTGTCACTGGTGGAGAGCTCTTTGACAAAATTGTGAGTTGAAATTTTGGTCATTCCTTTCCTTTTTTATTTTTATTTTTAATTTAATGACAACCAGGGATTTTGACATTAGGTCAATAATTGAAGCTCAACCATACCAATATAATTTAGGAACTCGTGACTGCATATTATGTTGGGTTCTCATTTGTTCTCACAGATCTCTTTAATCCTTGAGTTGCAATATGTTTTCTGATATGGGCATTGCTTCCATATTTTTAGCTTGTTCTAACTGTAGCTAACTACTAGCACATGAAAGTTTCTTTGCACTCACATGGCTTTACATTCCATATGCCTTTAACCATTTCTAAATTCTGAAGGTAAACCATGGACGGATGAGAGAAGATGAGGCACAGAGATATTTTCAGCAGCTCATTAATGCTGTTGATTATTGCCATAGCAGGGGTGTCTATCATAGGGACCTGAAGGTATTTTAACTTGGCACCCTTTAAAGACGAATATATTTATACTTGTATATGTGAGCATGCATGAATGTTATGCTGACAGGAAATGAAGTTCATTTATATTTCTCTTGATTTTGTTGCAGCCTGAAAATTTGCTGTTGGATGCTTATGGTAATCTCAAAGTTTCTGACTTTGGATTGAGTGCACTGTCTCAGCAAGTCAGGGTAATTATGATATCCTTCTTTTCCATTACATGATGGGTAATCATGAAACTTCAATATCTGAAAACTTAAGATTTGTTGAGTCTTCAACCTTTTACTTTGAACTACGGAGTCATTCAAATTTGTTCTATCCTGATCTTGCTGATGGTGAAGGCCTTATAAAGTAAAATTGTCGTGGAGTGGAAAGGCGAATGAAAATTGGTCATAATGATTGGAGAGTGAAGCATCTTTATCAATGTGTTTTTAAACAAAAAGCACAAAAAGGATGAAGAATTGTTGGCATCTTGTTTAGTATCAAGTTTGAAGAGTTTAGAATAAAAGCTATTTTATTTAGCAATTGATTGGAAATAATAACATACCTTTAGGGCCTTCAGAGTTGTTGAAAGGACAAGTTCCATGTGAGCATATTGAATTATCATATAACATATATGACGGAAGTTTTAGTTTTAACCTCTTTGTAGAAAATATATATATATATATATATATATATGAAGGGGATTAATTTGTTTCTGGTACAACTGTGATAGAATCAATCATGTTCATTTTGCCATAGAAAATAGTGATTCTTTGACATCACCATTTCAAGTTACTTCCCACTGCACAGTGTCTGAATATGGAAAAGGCTTCGATATTTAGAAAATCTATACTACCAAATGAGAAAAGAGTGAATTAGATATTATTAGCAAGATAATTTGGTTAAGATCAAAATATTAAAGCATGTGACAAATGTTGTCTTCATTTTGTGGTTTGATCATTCTTGATGAGAAGATGAATTTTCTTCATAGATCATTCTCCTTAAGTAACTGTCTGTAATTGTAAAAACCAGCAATGTTGAACAGAAGTAAATTAATTGAATAAATTTGAGCTTGGTGACCTTAAAGCTTGTGAATAAGGAAAAGCATGCTCATTTCAAAATAAAAGATATTCTGTTATCCATGTTATTTGTCCACATATTAAGTATTTGTATGAGTTTTTTAAACTCCTGAATCCTGATTTAACGATTTCGTAAATGTGTAAGATTTGTTCCATCTCTATTTGTCTTTGATGGCTTTTGGAAAATCGAGAAATATTTCTAATCCAAAGTTGAATTTATAGGATGATGGTCTCCTCCACACTACCTGTGGCACACCAAATTATGCCGCTCCTGAGGTGCGGACAATGGTTTAATCACACTATTTTCTTCCAGCATTTGTAACCCCTTAGAAATCCTGGTTATTAACAAATTTCTGTCTTCCTATATAGGTCCTTAATGATAGAGGCTATGATGGGGCAACTGCAGACCTTTGGTCGTGTGGCGTGATACTCTTTGTGTTGCTTGCAGGTTACTTGCCTTTTGATGATTCTAATCTTATGAACCTCTATAAAAAGGCGAGCATTCCTATTTGCATGTTACAGTTATCCATTGATATTCATTGCCTGTATTTCACTCTCATTTTCCAAATCTGCAGATTACAGCAGCTGAATTCACTTGCCCCCCTTGGCTATCGTTTGGTGCAATGAAATTGATAACTCGAATCTTGGATCCAAACCCAATGACTGTAAGTTATTATACTTAACTCTCTAACCTGAATGTGTTTCTGGCTTCAGTACTAAATTCTGTGTGCACCGAATAGGAAGAGGGGAAAAAGATTGCTGTACTTTGTATCATGAAGGCGTCATATTTGCTCTTCCTATTGCAAGTGATAAAAGATTGTATATTTCTATGATAAGTAAAAGCTTCTAAAATTAGATGAAATAAAGCTCTATTCATGAAAGAAAAAGATTGTCCAATCAAAACATCATCTTGGTTAAATTCTTGTTGAATGTGTATTTACCTATGTGCAATAATTCTGTGAAGGAATACATATTATACTGAAATATGGTTCCTTAGTGATGGAACTGTGAAGTTTGTAATCTGTGCTTTTGCCCCTTTATCTGTGGCTCTTCCATCAGCAATATAGTTTGACTCATTTTTCTTGTTAGTGGACACAAGAATGGGAGATGAAGTCCAAGAAATCTGAAAAATAGATATTAAAAATGTATAGTTCTATCTACTCTATTGTTTTTCCTCTTTCCCTGTCCGACAGATATGCAATTGGCAGTCTGAATATAGTTTCTAAGGAAGATAACTTGCCCCTGATGTAAGGTTTTTCATACTCTGCACTATACCTCCATATATTTTTTTTATAATCCATTTTTCATCAAATCCACAGTTGGATTTTACTCTCTATATATACAGATCATCTATGCCAAATTTGAAGTTGATTGTCTCTAATTATGTTACCAATGTATAATAATGTCAACGACAAGAATATATAATAAAAAAACTAGTTTCTTTAATTGCAACAATAACCAAATAACAAAGCCTGTCCCTTCCAGGTGGTTCGGCTATGAGGTTCTTATTATGGTTTTTTTTTTGTAATGGCTACAATTAAGATTATAGAAGTAAGGTACTTTTGATTGTGTTGATTTGGTCAAATAATACTAAATAGTGAAAGTTGTTAAGAGCTGTTAGTGTCAAATAATCCTGCCATTTGAATTTACTCAATGATCAAGCAATTATTTTTAGCTCTTCATCTGGGGCACTGCCTGCACATTTTGCGATGGCCAAACAGATGCTTAAACTGAAGTGCTCCACCATTTAAATCTTTGAGTAGCACTTTGGGCCTGCAAACATGTGGCCATGCATATTTATGTTGGCCTTCACAAGTTTTTGTTTTGCTTCTTTAATTATTGACTTGCATAATACTGATGTGTACATATCTCTTTCTTGTGTTGCAGCGCATCACCATTCCTGAAATTTTGCAAGATGAATGGTTTAAAAAAGATTACAAACCTCCATTTTTCGAGGAGAAAGATGATACGAACTTAGATGATGTAGAAGCCGTTTTTAAGGATTCTGAAGTAAGTGTATAAGCCGTTCTCCAAAGTTATAGAAATATTGAAAACTGCATACTGGACAGTGCTGTTATATTTGGTGCTTAACTTTTTTCTTAATAAGTTTGCCTTGTCGGTTCTATAACAGGAGCACCATGTAATGGAAAAGAGAGAAGAACAACCAACAACTATGAATGCTTTTGAGTTAATTTCTATGTCAAAAGGATTAAACCTTGGGAATCTGTTTGATGCAGAACAGGTTTGCATTATAGAAGGCTTTTCCTTCTTGACTTTATTTTTGTATATCAACTATCAAAGAGTGGTGGTTACGTTTCCTTTACATGACTTGTTATCATTAGAAGGGATATGCACGATATGTCCAATGCCAGATAGAATATTATAAGATATTGTTAGGTTATCAAGACCGATAACCATCTGGCCTCCTTTTGCTCTTGGTTTTACTTTCTTAATTGTGTTTTAAGAAGTTTATAAATTTGGGTTGTGAAAGTAGCAAGTGTTTCTAATATTGCATCAACAGGTCTTCAAGATTTCGGAGGATGAACTGAAACTGAATTGAAACTGAATTGGATGTCTCAAAATCATTTTATTGATTTAAAAGCAGACATATCGTGTCCCTTTGCTTGAGAAAGATAGCCACTAATATTACGCTGGCTATTTCGGAGTTTTGGCTACTAATATTATTCTGTGACAAGTAAATAGATAATATCTTCAAACTACTAGCTCAAAAGCTACTAAGCAAAGTTTTGTTTTATTTTTATTGTTTATCATCAAATAATCAAAATGAGGTTTCGGCCTTTTAAAATTATATATGTAAATTGTGACAAAATTAGTTGGCTAGCGGGCGGACTCTATAAGGGGTTTACAGTGGCTAACTCTAAAAGTTTTACAATTATGAAAATTGAGTTTCATATTAAAATTAACAGTTAGTTGCTCTATTTTCTGCAGGAATTTAAGAGAGAAACAAGGTTTACATCTAAATGTCCTGCTAATGAGATTATCCATAAGATTGAGGAAGCTGCAAAGCCACTTGGGTTTGATGTCCACAAGAAAAACTACAAGGTGAGCGAAATCTTACACATGCTGTAAAGGTAATTATTGAAATCTCTATATCCAATATGCTTATTTCTTATTATTTGATGTAGATGAGACTTGAGAATTCGAAAGCTGGGAGGAAAGGAAACCTTAATGTGGCCACAGAGGTAACTTATAGCAACATTTTATTTAAATCTAGGCTTACATTTATACTTAAATCTAACTTTTATTATGTCAATCAGGTATTTCAAGTGGCACCTTCTTTACATATGGTTGAGGTGCGAAAAGCAAAGGGGGACACATTGGAATTCCATAAGGTACCATTTAATTATCTTGTTATAATTTTGTTACTATTTCTAAATATAGTGTTTTTTCTTCTTTTTTTTTTTTTTCCCAATTTGGACAAACTACTGATGAGAGTTAAGTAGTTGCATAGCATTAGTTACAAAGTAGATAATCCTATTGTCCCCTAATGATTGATTGATCAAAGCCAGTGGGAAGGGAGCCGAATGAATTTTCTTTCTGTCAAAATTGTTGGATTTTTGTTTGTTTACTGCATGATCAGGTTCTAATTATAGATGTAAATGATGTGTATTGCATCAAAATCCATTCTACAAGTCCTCAGATTGTCTCTGTGACATTATATCATTTAGAGCATATTTGAGCAGCATAAGCATTTTACAGGTCAATAATGTCACCACAAAAGTTGCTTGTCAGATCTGCGAGGTCAAGATCTCTCTTTTTATGAGCAAATGTTCCAATTTTAAATGTATATATATATATATATATATATGCTCTAATCTTCTTGCTCAAACCAAGTTTTCGGAAAGGAATAGTGCTATTTAATATTGAATTGACAGTGGATTCAAACATTGTTTTAATGAATATGAGACTAGTGAGAAGAAAAGCTCTTAAAAAACCTGTCTGGTGGTCTTGAAATCTCTTAGCCAATTTAATTGTAGTTGATTTCTTGTCTGTTCTAAAGTCACCTCTTCATTAATGAGATTATATTTTGCTGGCCATTAAACGTTCATATGTTTTTCCTATGCAGTTCTATAAAAACCTTTCAACCCGTCTTGAAGATGTTGTTTGGAAAACTGAGGAGGACATGAAAGAAGTAAAGTAAACGTGCGCCGGCCCATGTTTCCAAGTGTAAGGACTTTGATCTTCTGTCCAGCTGTTGTTAAATGTTCCTCAGTTGCTCCATATATTCATTCTTTTTTCCCCTATCTTTTTGTTTTCAGGATTGTTTCCTTTTGTTTCTCTTTTCCTGTATGATTAAACAGCCATGGTTTTTCCAATTTTTTTCCATGTCGTTAATTAGTGTTGGAAAGCGTGGATGATTCCCATGGAACACAATGGTTTTGTTTACCCTTCTACACTAAAATGTCGATCATAAATGGTTAATGATATTGAATAGAAAAAATGAAAACCTTTCTGTCTTCATTTGTGTCTTCCTCGGAAAATTATACTATAGTTCTAGTAGTGTCTTTGTTCTTTTGGTAAGAATATAAGCAACTTTATCATTCTTTTTGTTCTTTGGAAATTATATGCGAGGAAAAGGTGTTAAGTCTGTTACCATTTTTGAAAACATGGGAGAGCTTCTGTCACGTCCTCAAGACTAATACATAATATGGTCATAATATCTTAAAATAAAATTTTAAAATAATACGAGGCTTTTTTCTAAGTTGTTATAACAAAATTCCTCAAAATATCCTTTCAAAAAAATCCATAACCATAATCCAATAAAACTAAATAATATACATATGATAAATTAGCCAAACTAATAAAAGTACTCAAATATCATTACACTCATTGATCAATAATGTTTTCAGTACTCAAATAATTTTTTCATTTTGATCTTTAACTTCTCACAAATCTAAATAAAAGTCTAAATAAATTTATCATTTTATTAATTGTAAAGAAAAAATAAAAGGAGATGAAATAAACTACAACATCGTAAATATAATTTCACACATCTTGTCGAATTAAGAATCGTTTTCATACATATGTATAAATTATTTAGAAATATCATTCAAATTATACTTTCAAAACATTTAAAAAATCATTTAAAAGATGGATATCATATCAAAATATATATCTCATCCATTATAAATTATAAATCATAAATCATGATCAAGTATATATTATTTTATTTAAATCATGAATCAATCTTCAAAATCATAAATTCATAATCATAACTCATTTAATCATTATTATTATAAATTACGATCACTATTATAACTCATTATAAAAATCGTATCCATAATATTATTATCACGATAATTACTAACTATTATAATTTGTTAGTCAAAGTTTTATGCTAACTATTATAATTTGCTAATAAAGTTGTATGATTATGACTGCACTAACTACTATAATCTGTTAATCAAAACTTTAAAACTAGTTTTAGTGTCAATAATCTCACTTTCATAAATGTAAATTCGTAACTTTCATAAATCATTCTTTAAATCTTATCAATCATTTCATATTTCATTCATAAGCTCACATTTAATCATAATCATTTTTTTAAATCAGTGTCGTAGCAATCTTTTTCTATCTGTCATTCATGAGCTCGTAATTCATCATCTATATATATCAAAACAATATATATATATCACTTAACCTTTTTTTTATAGGAAATTCGAAATTCACTTTCGTTTGTTTGTTTGAAAGTAAACTCAACTAACTTTTCATACATATATAGTTCATATAGTAAAAATATGTATATTAATATAGAATATTGATTTAACCCTATTCTGCAGACAACTCTTCGTCCAAGGACAGAAATTTCCCCTTGTTTCCTTTACAATTTCAGTTCCTTCTTAATCTCTTAATTGACAATTAAATCAAAGTTTTAAAGTTCTCAATAAATTTAAAAACAAATTCCCAAAACATTGATAAACTCCTAGGGTTTTTCCTCTTTCAACTTCAAACTTCTCATTCTAGCAATCTGAACGATAATTTTTTTAAATTAAACGTTATTCTTTTGACATAAACCCAATCAAATACTCTTAACACCAGCAACCAAGAAGAAGCTTGAGAGATTTACAAAATCATAGGTTTTCTCCATGGTAAAGGCTAAAAATTTAAACATAGTTTTTTCCTAAATTGAAAGATGATCTTTTACTTACTTTTGGGAGGTAAATCACCTAATAAACTTAGTTATTGATCTTCCATCTTGAATCTGCTTTAAAATTTTTCCAATTTTTTTTTTGTTGCATATGAAGAAATGAATAAGATTATCTTAAAGTGATATTTGGTTCGAGAGAAAAGTTAGATTACCTCTGAAATCTTACTTTTCATAATTTAATTTTTTAGTTTGATTCACGGAATTTGATTCCTAAAGGTATTCTAATATTTTCAATAGTGTACAAATAGCTCAAAATAAAAAATCCATCTCTCCTTAAGGTTTTTTAAGATTCTTGAAAGAAAGTAAATTTTATCTCACTTTTGACCTTAATAATAAAAATTTTGATCTATTTTACATTTTAAAAATCAACATAATTACATGATAAATCGAAACTCATTTTGATATGTAAAGCTGCATTCATAACTATATGAGTAGGTAAAACTACATTCTTAACCATACGATTAAACACTTGATAATGACTAGATACATAGTAAATTAAATATAATAAAAATAACATTTTTGAAAGAAAAAAATAGCATATTACTGCAAATTTAAGATTTTGAATTTTTTTATTTTTAAAAGCACTTTGTTTTTTACACATGAAACGTAATTGATCAATTAAATAATAACAAAATAAATTGGATATTTTCAAAATTAACAACATTTCTTAGTATGGGAACGTAGTAATAGAGATAACATTTATAATAAATTATTTATGATATTTTTAACTACGTTTTTTATGTAAAAAATACAATTTTGATAAATATAAAATTTTCTCTATATAAATAACTACCTTTCTTGTTATGAAAATGTAGTCATTAATAAATCGTAATTATGTATTATTATATGCACTACCTTTTTACATACAAAACGTAATTGATCATTTAAAAAAATAACAAAAGAAATTTGATATTTATATTATCAATGACCTTGTTTAGTGTCGAAATGTATTAATAGATACAATATTTATAATAGAATATTTAAGATATTTTTAACTACGTTTTTACATAAAAAACGTAGTGTTTGATAAATATAAAAAAATTTTTAAATCAATAACTACATTTTTTGTTATAAAAACATATAAATATAGTAATTGATTAGCTAGAAATGTAGTAACTAACAATGAATAGGCTTTTTAGTTTCAAAATGTCATTGATAATAGATACAAAAAATAACAAAATAAACTGACATATGAATACGATATAAACCACATTTCCTTTTCAGACAACATTGCAAAGCTCTAATCAAACCTTAGATTGCATCTTTTTTGTTTCACACAACTCCACCTTCCAACTTTGTAATTTCATCTTCGTATGGTTCATTTTAGCTTATTTTTATCATTATATGATCAGTCTGCTCTTTGTTTTGTACGATATGTTTTGTATTATTTGTTTGCGCCAGATGTCTTCTTGTTATATTGGTAGATTTAAGTTAGATCTTAATTGAAAAGCTATTAATTTATCATATGTGTTCTTGTTATTGGTTTTTTCTTTTTAATTTGCAAATGTTTTCTTGTCATTTCTTGATCTAATCAAATGTTTTTTGGTATTTATTTTTCGTTGGATGTGGCTTAGATTTTGATATATCAAATGTACATTGTTGCTTTCAACACATGTTTTAAACATTAAAAAAATATTTCTTATAAGCAGTTAAGGCTCGTTGATAAATAAGAAAGAAATATGTAGACACCTTATTTTGTCTGAGGTTAACTTTGTAGGATAATTCTATTTATTTATTGGCTTGGATTTTGTTAAATTAAAAAAAATAAAAAAAGAGTTTGATTTGATTTGAAGTTTAGTGTTTTAATTGAAAAGGGGAATGTATTGGGTTGAGAGATGGACTTGGTTTAAAAATCGAAATTAAATTTGATTAGAAAATTGAAACCAAGAAAACATACTCCTTTTGTGATTTGGACTAAATGGCTATGAAAAGATCCCCTTATAGTTTATGAGGAGGGATCAGAAACAATCATGAAATAAAAAAGATCAACGAAAAAAGCAACAAAAATTCTAGTAGTATTTTTTTTTTTTTTGGGTTTTAGGTTTTATCGAGTTCTCAAAATCTCTTCTTGGTCTCGGATTGAAACTTTCTATAGAATTCAAAGAGGGTTTAGGCGATAACAAGAGGTGGAGTAGTAAGCAACAAGCTGTTGGATTTTGGAAAAAGAAAGGGGGTTATTGGTTGGAAGCATAAAAAAAAGAAAGAAGCTAGAGGCTTCTAAGAGAATGAAAAAGCCAAAAAATGGGGGCCATTTGTTTGATTCAAAAGCTTTGGATTTTAATCCAAATTTTGGTAATTGGTTGTCCTTTTTTTTCTTTTTTCTTTTTACTTGCATATATATTTATTTACTTATTTATATGTCACATGTTAGAATTTCTAGATTAGGAATATTTTTATAGATTATTTGAAAGTAAGTAAAAAGTGAAAATTTTAAGTTTTGAAAATAAACGAAAATTCATCCAATGATGAAATTTTAAGAAAGTTATAAGTGTGTAATTTTCTTAAAAATTTTTAGGTGAGAAAATTTGTTCTAGATTCAATTAAGGCATTGGAGGATTTAGAAATTTGTCTTAATATTATAATTTTTATTTATTTCTAATTTAGAAAATCAAAATTAAAAATAAATTATGGTGATTTAATTGCATGATTAATTAAATTGTGCTTACATGATTATTATATTTTATTGAATTGTGTATTTTTATTTATGTATTTTATTATATTATGTATTTTATTATGTATTTATATGTATCTCTTTTTCATAAAATATTTAATAAATCCTATGAAAGAGCCTCTTTAAAAAAATAAGTGTCTTACTTGAATACTCTTGGGGTAAGAAATAATTTTAAAAGATCAACCAAAGTGTTAGAGAAAACCTAAAAATATGTCCAATATTAAAATATTTAAATTAACAAAAACACATGAATTAAATAATAGGAATAAGTTAGGTTCACTGAATTAAGGCTAAAAAATAATTTTAAAATTAATTGGTACCATTTTAGGATAGGCATTGTAAGGGTACTATAACCTTCCCTCCATGTAATTGAACTCCTGAACCCAGTTCTGTTTAGAAGATTAGAACCTATTCTTTTAGGAACCCTTAGTTAGGATAACCTTAGAAGAAATAAATTCACTTAGGTAACCAATCACATATAGTTAAAAAAGATTGGTGGCATCTCTATGTTTTGTATTCAATAGGTAGGTTCAAGTGTCATAGGTCGAGATTTAAGCTTTAGACTCATACAGTTCTAAAACCCGAGCATGGACTCATCTGGCATCTCAAATCAATCTAATTGTCACAATTCACATCCTTATG